CTGTTATTACTTCATGAGAAATTCAGAACTGACATTCTGGAAGAAAATCTATATGGTTTGTTTTGCACTGAAAGGTGCTGGTCCCTGATAATCTCAGTAAGAAAGATACTCAGACACTGTACAGTATAATTAGAAATGTTTTTTATTGGGTTTGACACTATAAAGAAGGAGAATAGTATAGATAATCTTGCATCTGTTTATACTGGGAACACAGACTGTGTATCATCGATTGAGCCTTTAATCCTTGTGGAGCATATTGTGCAGACTCTGCCTGTGGACAGGGTTACCTCAGTTTGATCAGTCAACCCATTATAGAATTTTGTTACAAGTAAACAACTCTGTGCATCATTTCTACTGTTAACGAAGAAGGACATTCACAGGAGAACTACTTGCAGTAATCCCAGGTACCAAGTGGGAGCTTACCTGCAGACTTCTTGTGATGTGGCCAAATTAATCCTGTGGACAAAAGATCTACATAGCATAGGTTTGAACCTGTTAACTGCCCAGAGTGGATCACTAACACCTCAGTGTGCCATGGTCTTCCAGTCAGAACCACTACAATTCATTATACTTTTTTCTTTTTAAAACCTTATGGAATTCTTTCCAATAACTAAAATTGTTAATGAGGTTTGCTATGTTTTTGTAGGAATTGCCAAGGAGACTCATGATAGAGCTCTTTTTTAGCAGGCAATACCAATGTGGAGTTTTGGCAATCTTCTTATAATTTCCTTTTTAAAATGGAATATGTGAAATGTACAACTGCTTGAAGAAATGTAAATTAATGGAGCAAATAAAAAGAGTGCTAGAGTTTCCAGTGAGAACACAAGTAAGTTAAATTATTTGTCAAATATTAGGATGAAACAAGATATGTCTCTATTGTATGACCAATACAAAGCGCTCTCTTCTAAACAGATGCTTGTCTTGATGTTTATTGTAGTCAGTATTTTAGATGCTAAGAGGTCTCTTTTTTCAATGCATGTTTGAGTTTGAAAACTGTACAGCTTTAGTGTCTCAGTATTAACTATTGCTTACTAGAAATGTTCAGATTTGATTCAGAGTCTGGGTTCTGCTTGGTTTGGGGATCTGAGAAAGCACCGTGGCTATAAATGGAGTGATACATTCTGGGCAAGTAGACAGCTCGCTCTAAAAGCGATCGGTCACGTCGATGCAATTACATGCAAAACAAAGCTGGTCTACCTTTCATTTTACTGTAGGTTTTTTACCATTGGATGGCTTACCTGTTTAATTGGGAAACATACTTGTTCAGAAACTTTGGTTTCTACCTGCTTGTCAGTTTTTCTACATTTTGGTTTTCAGAGTTTTTTGTGTAAACTGTTTTTCTCACCTACCGTCTATTTGGTTGTAAACTTTGGTTTAAACAATCTCTTTCTCGCTAGTACAGGCCTTTCTAGGAGCATAGGTTGTGACCTATTTCGACTACAACACAGTCCTTAGCACTTTGGACTTAACTTGAGGAGAGGGCTGGAGAAAGTCCTTTTACTAGTCAAAGTATTTATATGTGAATTTGTATTTGAAATTTCTCTACAGGAGAGACTAGTATTAAATAAAAAGCACATTTAACTTTTGAATACATATCTTATAATGGAACTTCATTACAGAGTTAAATCTTCAAAGTAGTTGACTTGTTTTTTTCCCTCCCATCTGCTATTCAGAGTTAAACTCAAGTAACTTCATGCACTTGGGCTGACCTAACTGATACGATTCATTATCATGTGGCCTACAGGTGTGTGATTTTAACTACCTAGGCAACTGGAATGTTTGAAGATGATCCATCTCCCCAGTGAGTGTTTGACCAGTGACATATTTTACAACCAAAGTTCACCTCTTTACTGGGTTGCCTTGAATAGAGAAAAGGCTCAATACTTGGCTATCAATGATATTTAGTGAGAACTTAATATGGCTCAAGGAAGACAATGGTCTTTTCTGGAGTGCTGCAGGCATAGGATGGAAATGCATAATGTAATGTAGCTAATCTTGCGCAGTGAGACATGAAGAGTAAATCTTGTGCTTTTAAAGCAAATCAAATTGGAATAAAGCATAATTTAGATTATACTGCAGAATAAAGAATTTTTTTTCTTGCAGTAAGTGTACCAGAGAGAGAAAGGAAGTAATAAAATAAAGATGTGTACTCTGAGTTCAGGTGAAGCTGCCTTTAAGCTGTGTTTTTTTTGCCTGAGGCCTTTTGTATTGAACCTGGGATGTTCAAACTTTTAGGTAGTTGAGGAAAATGAAATACACTTGCCGTATTGGACTCCTATTTTTCTCAGCTTGATGGAGGCATGGTAGTGGTAGGGATGGGTAGTAGTTGCTTGATTTTGCCAGATTTTTTTATCAGGGTATGTACTCTGAAGCAGTAGCAGAGAAGAGTAAGCCTGGTAAAGTAAAAATGTAAGTGTAGCCTAACTTAATAAATTTTAAACTATGTTTACAATTTTTTCCCCAGGAATTATTTGGCTATATAGTCTTATGTAAGCCTTCTCCAGAGAGCAAGGACTGCTTCTTAAATAGCATAAAGTTTTGCTATTACTGTTCTACACCTTATGTTCCTGTCTTGAGAGTGAGAGTGTTTAAGAAAGGCAAGACATCTAGTTAGTCCAGGTACAGATGGTTGAGATTGTCTGTGGTGGTAATTACAGTCTCTGAGTGTTTGGAAGGACTTTGGGTCTTGATTATTTGAGAGGTTGATATGGCAAACTTGTAATAGTGTTAGTGCCATTGTGAACATCTGGTGCTTGAGGAATATGCTGGTTAATATAGTGTTGGAATGTCTTTGGGCTTATTTTAAATACAAAAGGATAATCACTTATACATGTTTAATTATCACCTGTGACCTTCTTCAGAAGGAACTGGAAAGAAGCTTTCTCTAATCTTGTCTGTATGTTCCGCATTCAGTGGAATACAGATTCAAAAACACAATCCCCATCAAAAAGGTCCTACAGCTGAATCTGCTGTAGGTCACACAGGTGACCAAAGTACAGATTCTGAAGAACCATGTATCAAATGCAGTGTTTGAATTCAGTAGTCTACTGCTTAAAAAAGGGAGAGGCAGTTACCTGAATGCTTCTGCTAAAAGCAAGTATGACGGTATCATTCTTTATGAAGTTCAGACTTGCACCAGAACTCTTGCAGTACCTGGCTGTTTGTTTTCAGAGAATGCCTGAGAAAGGAAACAGTAGCACACCAATAGAAGCGTAAGGTTTTGCCAGGAAAGATCTGTGTTGAGTAATGAGTGAGTGTATGGGTAGAGTTTGTTTTTTTTTCCTTTGGGAATTTTCGTGAGGGCTTATTTGCAAGTGGAGGCTCAGGCTGTGCATGTGAAACCATAAGCAGGAACTCGGCATCCCATAGAGCAGTCCCAAAGCTGCCTGTGAAGCAAAACTGATTGTGTGTTTAGTTTATTATTGAACTTAATTTTCCATCTGAAACTTTGGAAACTAGCTAGAAGCTAAGTTGGTACTGTAGTTCAGGAATCACTTCTGATAGAAAATTGATAGAACAAACGTTTGCTAAAAATGTCAGCATCTCCTTCTCAAGAAGTTGAGAAGCAACTACTTGAGTCTTAAGAGATAGGCTGAAAACTTGGTGGCTGTGTTTCTTTGAGGGAGAGGGGGAAAAAGCAAGATAGAGGTGCCACAGGAATACCTCTCAGGGTATGTTTTAGTTGTGTAAATCTCCTTTGATTAAATTAGTGTGTCAGAAACACCAGTTGAATACCCTTTGGGGAGGACAAGCAAGGCAGATACCTTTCTGCAGAGCCATCCCTAACTAAATGTGCCTAAAATTACGTAAGCAATGACCAAATGACAGAAATGCAATAATAAGTAACCTTTTGGCAGCTGGGGGTGGTGGTAGGTGTTTGATGCTTATAGATAGTGTTTTTCAAAATAACAGCCTTTTATTCGCATTCTGGGTATGTTTCTATTGATCAGATTTAATAAGTCTTGAAGTAACTAAAAATCGCCTAGATATTAGTGATCTTTATTACTTTATTTTTCTGGCCTGTGTCTCTGCACTGGTCTGGAGTAACTCTCCTGAAGTCATTATTTTGCCTGGGGCTAAACTTCACTCTCTCATCTTCTAAGAAAGATTGCCAATTGAATTAGGCCATTTTGAAAAGCTCTTATGGCTTTGATATGAGTTGAAAGCTGCTGGAGATGAGGTTTATCAAACCCATTACAGTTCAGCATTATTCCATTTGATTAGTCACTCTTGGCATACAGACAGGATTTGAAAGAAAAACATCTTTAGCAAAATTATCATTAATAATTTACATGTTTACATTACACTTGTATGTACTGTGTACACCTCCGATGGGAAGCTTTATTTCATATATATAGAATTGTAATGGATACACATGCTTCATTGGAAGGCTTCAAAAAGTAGCCATTCACTAGACCAGAATTCAAATATTTAAATACTTAGTGTTGTGACACTTGCTTTTTGCTAGAAAGTCTTGTAAAGCATTTCATAGAAACAGACCTCACAAAGTTACACAGGTCAGTCTCACTTTGAGTTCTCAATCTCTACAAAAAGTAAACTTTTTTTTTTTAGTATTATGTCATTGCTTGAAGGTGTACTGGGTGATGTGTATTTTCAAGTATATCAATATGGTTTTCACAGAAATGGCTTAAGTTTCGTTTTCTGTTTTCCTTTCTGTAACTTTTAGGGAAAATACTTTATCAAAGAGTTTTATTGTACTCTGAATTCTATCCTTTATACTGAATAGGTATGCCCTATTCCTCAAGAATGCTCCATTAAGCATTGAGTTATATAAAACACCTTCTTGAAACATTAGTATCTGCCCAAGTCCCTGATGAGGTTTACATGATTGTCAGGAAAAGAATAGTTCCCATCCTCATGCTAATTAGATCTCTTACACTTTTTTAAGCCAGTTCAGTGATAATTTTGACTTTTCAAATGTTTTTCGTTGTTGGAGTCCAAATATTTCATGATTTGATGACAGTTTATCTTCTCTCCAGGAGTGTATTGGGACCATCCAGTCTTCCTTCAGCTGCTTTCCCTTGAGTGGGCCTGGTAAGTTTTTACATTCTATTACAAGCAGCTTTGTCAATGCAAGAAGAGTTATTTTCAGTCATCCTTCCCCTTTCAAATGCGAATATGGAGTAAGAATAAGGTTCTACCTTAGTTCAGCTATTGTTTGACTTTTACAACAATTTATCACCTCTGTTTGGACTTGAAATGTACAGTACTAATACATTATGAACATGAGTCATCAGTGTGCCCAGGTAGCCAAGAAGGCCAATGGCATCCTGAGCTGTATCAGGATTAGTGTGGCCAGCAGGACCAGGCAGTGATTGTCCCCCTGTGCTCTGCACTCGTGAGGCTGCAAATCCCGTGTCCAGTTCTGGGCCCCTCACAACAAGGAAGACATTGAGGTGCTGGAGCATGTCCAGAGAAGGGCAGCGGAGCTGGGGAAGGGTCTGGAGCACAAGTCTTAGGAGGACCAGCTAAGGGAGCTGGGGGGCTCAGCCTGAAGAAGAGGGGGCTCAGGGGGGACCTTATCACTCTCTACAATTCTCTGAAAGGAGGCTGTAGTGAGATGGGGGTCGGTCTCCCAAGTAACAAGTTCATAGTTATTTGGAAAAAAACCCCATTACTTCCCAGTTGAAATAGGGCTAACTGTAGGCAGTTTCCTTGGGGGGGGTGGTGGTTTGTGTTGATGTGCAAAACTTTGACTTCACATTCTGCATGACCACATGAGTATGTACTGTTCCATTTTATGTAGCTGTAGCAATGCAGAGCTTAATGGGTCCACAATGAGGCAGCAGTTCTAATGAAAGCTGAAATGTTTGCTCTTTATTTAGTTTAAGCCACTAAAAATAAGTATATTAAATGTTTTCTCCATCCAGAATGAAGACAAATGTAAAGATGGCATGTCCAAGGAATTTTAAAAGGTGTAGACCTCCCGACTGAGCAGTGCTGTGTAATTTATTCTCTTTAATTAGTAAAGTAAGTATGAATCAAACCTATTCTTCTGGGGGTTAAATGTGACATTTTTATATATAGATTATAGTATTGAACAATAATAAATTGTGCTAGCTTAATTTTCATTCTGTCAATGTGCCTTAATTGTCTTGATGGGAGAAGATGGGGAATTATATATAAGAATATGTAATGCAAAATATTTTTGGAGAATTTTTTGGTTTTTTTTTTAATTGGTTATAATTATTTAATCTGGTAGAAAATTCTAGATTACAAGAGACATCATGTTAATGTATCACTCTGATTTTGGAATTCTTCGTAAATAAGAAATCACTTCTATTATTTAAGTTTAGGACGGTGGTGAAGGACTGCAAGTAATATATCAACCACTTCTTTAACTTATACCTGCTTGTTGCTTCTACTTGAACAGTACCCAAATGGTTGGCCCAAATGTATTTTCTCCTAATCTCTGATGCTAGTTTCACTGTTTTAAGTTTTTGTATTCCAAGTACCTTTCCTTAAAATAAATCCAAAAGATGATGGTTAGGATCAAGTGCCAGGAGTTCTTGGATCCTTTTGCTATGCTCTGGAGGCTAGGCCAAATATTTAAAACTCTGAAAACAGTAATAAGCTTATAGTGTTTAATGGTGAGATAAATTGTTTTTTACAATTCTCTGACAATGTCCTTTCTTTTTTTTCCTCTACCAGCTGCTGTTCTCTCACAGGTGAAAGTCATGATCACGCTAACAGACCTCAAATGTTTAGCAGATGCCCAGTCATCCTACCACATACTAAAACCATGGTGGGATGTCTTCTGGTATTACCTCACCATGATAATGCTGCTACTTGCTGTGCTCGCTGGGGCCCTCCAGCTTACTCAAACCAGAGTATTATGTTGTCTTCCTTGCAAGCTAGAATTTGACAATCATTGTGCTGTGCCTTGGGATTCAGTTAAAGCCAACCTTAACATGTCGGCTGGCTCTCCAGCACCAATAATCATCCCGCTTAAAATCCAGAATTATCTCCATCGGCAGCAGTATTCCTATATCGATGCAGTATGTTATGAGAGAGAGCTTCACTGGTTTGCCAAATTTTTTCCATACCTAGTGCTTTTGCATACCTTTATTTTTGCAGCTTGCAGTAATTTCTGGCTTTACTACCCTAGTACAAGTTCCAGGCTTGAGCACTTTGTAGCCGTTCTTCAGAAGTGTTTTGATTCTCCATGGACAACACGTGCCCTCTCAGAAACAGTTGCTGAGCACTCTGCGAGGAAGTTGCCAACAGCCAAATCAAAAACAGTGATTTCATCACCTGGGTGTTCAGGAGACATAGGGGCCAGCAGACAGTCCCTGCCATATTCACAACCTGGTTTGGAAACAACTGGAAGAGAAAATTCAAGTGTTCTTGACAAAAAAGAAGGGGAACAAGCTAAAGCTATATTTGAAAAAGTGAAGAAATTCAGAGTACATGCCGAAGAAAAGGATGTCGTATATACAGTGTATATGAAACAGATTATAGTGAAAGTCTTTGTAGTTGTCATAATAATAATTTATGTCCCCTACTATTTATCATTTATTACACTTGAAATTGATTGTGTAGTTAATGTTCAAGCCTTTACAGGCTACAAAAGGTACCAGTGTGTTTATTCGCTAGCAGAAATTTTTAAAGTTTTGGCTTCATTTTATGTTGTTTTAGTGATCTTCTATGGATTAACTTGTACTTACAGTTTGTGGTGGATGTTAAGAAGTTCACTTAAGCAATATTCTTTTGAGAAGCTGAGAGAGAAAAGTAATTACACTGATATACCTGATGTAAAGAATGACTTTGCATTTATTCTCCACTTGGCAGATCAGTATGATCCTCTTTATTCCCAACGATTCTCAATATTCCTGTCTGATTTGAGTGAAAATGAACTCAAACAGATAAATCTTAACAATGAATGGTCAGTGGAAAAACTGAAAAATAAACTAGTAAGAAATTCCCAAGATAAGACTGAACTTCACCTTTTCATGTTAAATGGTCTTCCAGACAGTGTCTTTGAACTGACAGAAATAGAAGTCCTAAGCCTGGAACTTATTCCTGAAGCCAAACTTCCTTCAGCTGTGACTCAGCTTGTCAATCTCAAAGAACTCAATGTTTATCATTCATCACTAACGATGGATTATCCAGCAGTCAGCTTTTTAGAGGAAAATCTGAAAACACTGCGCTTGAAATCTAGCGAGATGGGAAGAATTCCATTTTGGGTCTTTCATCTAAAAAACCTACAAGAATTGTGCTTAACAGGATATTTCATGCTAGATCATCACAACTCCATATACAATGAAGGCTTTCAGGGGCTAAAAAATCTGAGATCAATTCACTTGAAAAACAACCTTTCCCGTATACCTCAAGTGGTTACAGATCTTCTGCCTTCTTTACAACACTTGTGTATCAACAACGAGGGAAATAAACTGCTAGTGCTAAATAATCTGAAGAAGCTGGTAAACCTGAGAACCTTGGAATTAATCTGCTGTGATTTAGAGCGCATTCCCCATTCCATTTTTACACTAAACAATTTGCATGAAATTGACTTAAAAGAAAATAATCTCAGAACAGTGGAAGAAATAATTAGTTTTCAACATCTTAAGAACCTTTCTTGCTTAAAATTGTGGCACAACAGTATTTCATATGTCCCAGTGCAGATTGGTGCATTATCAAACCTGGAACAATTGTATCTAAATTATAATAATATTAAAAGTGTTCCGTTGCAGCTATTTCTTTGTAAAAAATTACACTATTTGGATCTTAGCTATAATAAGCTAACCTCCATCCCTGAAGAAATCGGTTTTCTGACCAATCTGCAGTACTTGGCTTTGACAAAGAACCACGTAAGTAGAACTTTGAATTACTACTCAAAAAAAAACAAAAAAACAAAAAAACCCCAAAAAACCCAATAAAACTTAACCTACTATTTCTTCTGGAACAGCTTCTGGCTCAAAATGATTTTGTGGTTATTCATGATTAAAGTAAACCCAGAAAGCTGAAAAAAGGGGGGGTGCTTGTTTAATTACTAAAACTTTGGTATCAGCAAAGCTCACATAATACTGAATAAGTACTATCCTGATCTGTAAGGGCTTTGATCCAGAGATAGTATAGGTTAGCGTGGCTGCAGAAACATATCTTCCCTTTCCCTGCAGCTGTCTATCCTATGTAGTATTTTAATGGAAGTGAACAATGGTAAACGTGAAACTGGAAGATGTAGTGAATCAACAGCTAGTTGATGAGCAACTCAGCTGTCCCATTGGGAAGAGGGAAATAGTTATGGTTGGTAACCTTATTAGCAGTGCTAAACTGTCTGGCTCATTAGTGTGGTGCTCAGGCTTGTGACTTCAGCCTTCTTTTGAGGTTTATAATTGTTTTGCTAGTGAGGTTGGGTTTGGAAGTTATATGTCAGTAGTGTGGAGCAAGACTCCTGCACTGCACAGATAACTGCTTGTACAGGTTTCACGACACAGGAGCTGCTACTGTCTCTCCACAGTCTGTGCTTGTCCTTCATTAAATGATCCTTAGGAGACAGTAGCCTTTTTATCTCCTCTGCCACTTGCACTCCTTTGCATGCACTTCTGTGCATGCACGCAGGTATGTGCTTCCCCGTCCATGCTTGTCTTGACTTCTGCCAGTAGCTTTGTTAACAGAACAGGTACAATAACACCATTGTAGTGCTCTCAAGCGCTTGATCATATAATGATAGAAGCATTACAGTCTTCCTTTTTTCTTATCCTTTCATAAACTAAGAGGATTTTTGACCCTAAAAATAAAAATGAGAAATGTCAAAACATGCAGCTGCGCGTAGGCTAACAACTTCTAATGTACTTTATTTTTGTTCTTCTCTTTCCTTTTTCTAGATTGAAATGCTGCCTGATGGATTATTTCAATGCAAAAAGCTGCAATTTCTTCTTCTGGGAAATAACAGTCTGATGAATTTGTCCCCTTTTGTGGGTCAGCTGCCGAATCTTGTTCAGTTAGAGCTCATTGGAAACTATCTTGAATCACTCCCTGCTGAACTGGAAGAATGTCAGTTCTTAAAGCGAAATAGTCTAATTGTAGAAGAAAGGTTGTTAAAAACACTTCCACCTCGTGTAAGAGAGCGTTTGCAGACATGCTCAGATAAGTCCTAAGTTTAAAATAAAACTGCATCATTGCATTCTACAAGTTTTTTGCTTAATATCTCTCTAAAGACCTGTATTGGTAGAGAGAAACAAAGGAGAGAGAACAATTTACAAATCAGTCTTAAATGCATTGAACTGAATTGATTGTATTGGAAAAGAAAAAATTATTTAGATTCAAACAAAAAATGCTTTTACAGGTAAACATGTTTGAAAAATTTGAAACATAAATTGTTGGTTAGGTTCTACTGATTGGAGTAATTCAGTTAAATGCTTAAGGTACTATTGAAATGGAAGAGTTGATTGCCTGGCTATTGTGAGAGTGTACATACTTTTTTCCTATGAGAATTTTTTCTGTTGATAGTGATGATTTTAAACAGTTTCATCTCCTGCCATATGAGGTCTAAGGACTGTCTGGAATTAGTTTCTAAATATGAACTCTTCACTAACTTAGAATGTATTAAATTAAGAGTTTAAACTATTTGAGCAGTTTAATTGCATGAGGTATACTGAAAGTAATTTTGCAACATAATTTTTAAAGCTTTTGACAAGTACTAAGTATTAATCTGATAATTGTGGAAGATGCTATTTGAATCTTGCTATTAAATACCTAGAACCAGTTTCAGCATTTTGTCTTAAAAATAGTAAATATAAAATAAATTGTTGCCTAGAAATTGGGAGGAATCAGAAGAATCTGAAATAACTGTTGTACTGATGTACCAGACAACCAGTCTTACATTACCGATCTTCAGAGGCAATGATGGTGAACAGAATGCAATATAGTTGCAAAGTTGTCTTCTGTATGTTGTGAGCATCCCAGGTGTTAGTGTAGTGTATGTTGCTGATTAATATTTTTATAACTTTTCATTACTGACTGCCTCAGTGCCGCTTCTCCACACCCAGTTAGTGGGGAGAGGATGAAGGAGGTTTGTATTAGATAGGGACAGAAAGACACAGTTAAAACAAACTAAATAATCACACAGCTTATAAGCACTTGGGAGGAAAAGACAGGAAGCATTATAAGCTGTGCCTCTCCTAGGGATGTAATAATTTCATAAATTACAGTGGTGGGATAAACTCTTATGCCATCCTTCATACGTGCAAAACTGGATGGAAATAAAATGGTTCCTGACTTCATTCTTCTGCTGTGCGCTGTTTTATTGTATTTGAAGTCTTAATTCTCATGATGTTTATCATGTTCACTATAAACATAAGTTATGCCCCTGGGGAAAATAATAGCATGCTTTCCAAAAACATATTTGAAAACTTTGCTTTTTAAAAACTTTAAAATAATACAGAATCTCAATTATAGGTTAAACAGATGATGCAATCTATGCTCTTAATGACTTTGTGTTCATGAGTGTGCTAACTATGCATTCCAGTTTGTAATAACAAATCATCACAGATAAAACTAGTTTTAGTACTACACCATTTTTAGTCATCTCTTGCTCCCATTCCACTGCCAGTTTGTGGAGTGTAAGATTTATTTCAAATGAAAATCCCCAAACAAGTCTGATCAACGTGGAAGTAGGCGATGTCTCTACAATAGCAGTGCAAGAGGTGCATGTTTAATCACTATACTGATGGCATTCCAAAGACCTTTGTAGTCAGAGCACTTTTCTTCTCAGGGAACCAAAACGTGGTAAAACTATTATTTTCTATGTAGTTTTAGAAATGTTTGGTGTAAACTGGTTTGTTGTGTTTATGTGCAGACCAGTGCTGCTGGAACAATCTTTCATAGTGTCTGTTTATAACTCCTTCAAACTCTGTCAACTAATTTTGAGTTGTATAATAGTCCCATAGGAATTTACATGGTTCACCAACAGAGCTAGTTGTGGTAGATGTGATTAAGCCAGAGTGCATTGATTTACAGCCCTGTGGCAAGACTTGTGTTAATAATTGCAATAGGCCTGTCTGGACTTTATAACTTAACATTAAAGAACACTTTATACCAGAATTTGACACGCAAGACTTGCAGTCTAGTAATTTTTAAAAGATTAAGCAAGCATTTTCTTTAAAGCTTTTTTTCTAGATAGGAAATCTGTGTTGAAAATGTAAAACAAGCAAGTACCTGACTTGGCCAATAGCTTCAACTTTTTAGCAGTGCATCTGCCCTTTTCCATAATCAACCAAACTGATGAAGGCAAATAATGATCTTAAACATGCATTTTACACTAGTTCTGTCAGGAGTGAAATAACAGAAATAACTTGGAGAAAGGTACTTCATTTCTAAAATGTGTAACCTCAAAGGATTTGAGGAAACACTCAGAAATGCATAAGAATAGTAACACTGCTTTATAGATTAAATGGCTTACATTTTTTGCAGACTTAAATATTGGTTCACTCTGTAGCCCCTCAAGAGGGCTACATTATTTTCGCTGCGTGTTTGAGTGTTTATAAAACACCCAGACAAAACCCAGAAAGTGTAAAGGCTATAATCTCTAGCCTTGCTTTCAAACCACAGTGTGCCTTTACTATCCATTTTGTACCGCAAAACCCAATCCAAGTGCTTAGAATTGAGGGTGGAGACAAATGTAACTCTGAATTTCTTGAATCCACTTCAGACATTACCTTAATATTCAAAATTTCTTCAAAATGAGGGGATTTTCAGGGAATCAATATATAAATTCACTGTCAAACTTTGTACAATAAGTATTGTTGGCATCTAGTCTTTGTATTAAAAATCACTTCCAATCAAAAAAGGCTTTTCAACTTGTTTGTGTTGTATTGTGTTTATGAACTTTGTATTGTGACCTTCGGTATCATGAACATTTTGTTAAAAATTAAATTTTTTTTTGCATTACAATTCTATGAACTGTTCTTTATTTTACATATGAGACATTGCATTTAATGCAAAGCTTAGAAGTCTGCTGCCAGCTATCTGTACCTATGTGCAACCAGGTCTGTCTTCCACAGGAGAGTGTGAAGATCATGAACAGCAGTGGGAAATAATATTATGCTCCATGTCAAAACAGTTTTCGTATTCTGGATTAGGAGAGAAGTTCTTGTGTTGACTTAGAACTAAGCTTCCATCTTAATTGTTGTTACAGAACCTTTTCCAAGTCTCCCACTCTAATTTTTGTGAGCTGGGTAAGTATCAAATGCAGCCTGGAATTGTACTGGGAGAAGTGGGTTAGCAATGATTCTCTTCCCAGCTTGGCACATACAGCTGTTATGTGGCTAAACTGCCATAAATGTTGCTGCTTGTAGTAAATCGTGAATGTATATAGGAGCAAATCCTGAAAGCAGGAGGCAGTGCACATCATGGTATGGATTGTTTCTAGGAAGGATTTTGCAGGACTTCAGGTATTTCTGGAGATCAGGAATTGATCAAGTTCTCTTGCTTCATTTGGCCTTGTCGGGCGGGCAAGTCTCTCGACTGTGCAAGCGTGGTAATGCATTTCCCAGAGGGAATGCGGAGACTGTGCAGTTCACCTGCTGTCAGGATGGAGCTGACAGGTGATGTAGGGAGAAGCAAGCAGCGATACTACAGTCCTATACACTTGCAGGATACATCAGTGTCTTAGGAATTGCTGTGTTTGGAGAAGTCTCCATCCTGGTGGTTCATGAAGAGCTTATGCCTAGTGGTTAGCGTGCAGGACTTTCACTGCTGCGACCACGGGTTCTAGTCCCCGGTCTCCTGGCCTGATGGAGGTCGTTAGCCCTGTGTGGCCATCCATCTATGAGAAGGACACTCTAAACAAACCTACGTCCTGAGGACCTCACTGCCATTGTCCAAGCTTGCTTGGCCCCGGCAGATGAACCTTAGGATTAAAGGGTGGGCTTAGTTCAGCGCAGGCTGTGTCTCACCTAAAAAATCCATTGCGCAGGCTGGAAAGGTAAAAAGACCTTTCCCCAAATCTTCGTTTGCGAAGATGGGCCATTATTGCTAGGACACGTAGGAGGGGAAAGTAGCAACCCACTCTGGGGCTGGAGTAGCTTCTGAAAGGGTTCAGGCATTAACTCCATCTAGTGTGTTTAGTAAATGAACCATTACGTCTGTTCTTGTTGCTTCTTTATGTTACCATTTGTGTGAATATCCATCCTCTTGTTGTCCAGCTTCTAATAACTTATTAGCTGTTATTATTTTGTACAAGTGTGCTCTCTGCTTGGCAGGAGCCAGCTAAAAGGCTTTAAGGTAGTACAGATATGCAAGCCATATGCATTTAACACATGGAGGGGTGGAAAATAGAGGATGAAAATGGGTCTACCTGCAGAGTGAGGGGAAAGGAATAATTGCTCAAAGTGACAGGAGAGATCTAAAAGATCATTATTACTACTTAGCCCAGCAAGGCTGTTGGGAAGTATTACTTGCTAGTAGGCAGCTATGACAGCATGGTGCTTAACACAGTGAGGTATTACTCTGTAGTGCTTGTGGGCCTGCTGTTAAACGGGTACATTTATTACTTGCTGTTGCTTTTTCCTGTTATAGAAATGCTAATTCTAAATTTACCACTACTGTTTATAAATCTTCATTATAAAACACTGAATAAAAGTTTCTTTTCTTTTCCCCTCCCTCTTACTTGCATCCCTATGTATTGTAGAACCAATACTCTTGTCAAAAGATATTGCAAAGCAACTAATGTGATTAGTATTTGAAAAGTGTGAAAGGATGAAAACCGTAGCAGGAGGTACGTGGAAAAGCCAGGCACTGCAATCTCATTGGCAGTGCAACATGAAAATCTCTTGAGCCAGGGTTCAGGCTTGATATAAGGGGAAAAGGAGGAACATAGCTCACTACTCTTCATTGAAAACATAGCTAACCTGCAAGTAAATAGTGAATTGATGGATCATTTTAAATTGGCCTTGCTCAGTAGCAAAACTGCATAAAATTGTGCATGAAACACTTTGGTGGGGTTTTTTTGAGCTAAGTTGTTCATTATAGCTAAAGGTGTTCATCATCATAAGGGAGGTCCCGATCCTCTGACCCCTGTGCCTTGGCCCTGTGGTCTAACCATTGTTTTGACTTTTGCTGGAGCTTATGCTGAGCTGATTCAATGCAAAAGCCTGGCAAAACACTATTTAGTGTACTAGTTTTCTGCTGGTTTAACAAGCTGAATTAGTTTGATACAGTCTGACAAGTACCCGAGTCAGTAGGAGAATGGGACAAAGATCAGTCTCCCTTATCATGACTGCTTAGGGTGTAAATTTGTATTTGCTTGCAAAGTAATTATCCTTGGTTTTGGTTTGTGGTTTTTTTTTTTATTGTAGTACATTATTAAACCAAATGGCCATGACTTCTTTACATGGGTTGTAATATATATGTATATAGCTACATATATGCACATACGTGGGTATTGAATCCAGATCTGGTATTAAACAGGCTTAGGATCAATACTAAATATATTTATCTAAAATAAAAATAAGTAGGAAGTGTAAGGATAGATCTAAAAAAAAATCTCTTCAAGAGCACATAAATAGCATGTCTTGAATTGTTGTTATCAGAAAACAGATATGCTCAGTTGCTGCAGCTGTGATGGTTGCCTGGACATTTAGGAATAGAAGGGAAACTAATCAGAGTTCCATGATGCATAACCCATGATAACTGGTGACTACGTGGGCTCATTAATCCCTAACACTGGCAGCTTTCCTCAGGTTGCCTGTTTTGTCTAGATTAGTGCTTTATTATGGAGCAGCGATAGCGGTTTCTGTGCTCCATAGAGAGTTTTCTGCTACTTAGGGATGACTCAGGTTCTCCAGCAACAGTTGCTGAGCTGTTGTATTTCAGCAAGTGTTATTAAGGCAACCCAAAGCTGGCGTTGCTTTTTATGAGGTAGGCAAAATTAAGTGGCTATGTCAAAGCAATAGAGACACTCCTGTAGTGGAGATGAAAAACTGCAGAGGGGAGAAGAGCTAGAGCAGGAGCTAGTCTGACTGTTGAGCAAGCCATTTTCACTCCTGAATCAGTTCCTTAATCTGGCTGATGAGAGATACTGCTAATTTTTCCTTCAAAGCAGCCTGTCTTATTAAAGAAAATTGGTGAAGTAACTTGAGGTCTGTGCAGGGACTGATTCTGTAAGGTGCTGAGTTTCTGAGTAACTGCTTAGTGAATGTGCTTGGCTCCCACCCAAAGCCAGTGGGAGTTAGGGGTGTTCATACCATTCCAAATAACCCTTTTTATTCTTAAAGATGTCTTGATAAAAGGATCTTGTAAAACAAAGATTTGTTTTCTTCTGTGGATATAAATTATATTATATGTGTGAAAAGGTAAGTATTCTGGTTTAAAAAATGGCTAGACACAAGCAACAATGTCAAAAGCAAGTACATCTGAATCTTGATTTAAATCTGTTTTTATGCCAAGTATGTGTGGTTTTGCTAGCTTGAGAAATAAATCCACTAAATATCTGAACTGATAACATATTCTTACCTGCATTGCTTCAGAGGAAACTGATAAACTTTGTAACTAAAGTTTTAAATTTACTGAGTCTTCCTTTTCACTATAGCTGCCTGTTTCTCTGCATTTAATAATGCTAGCAGCTTATAAAGACAGATTGATTTTCCTTGCCATAGATTTATACAGTTCTATCAAGAGTATAAACAGAGCCTAATATTCCATAGCAAAAGAGACTGAAATTCTACATTGCAGTAGGTTACCATGTATAGTTACATTATTTATTATGTTAAATTTGAGTCTTTTAATAAGTTAGGCTCACAGATAAAGATTAATAGTCAATAGAGTAGTACTTCTGATACCTTGATGAAAAGCACTGCATGTTTTATGCTGCCCAGCACTTAGTTCTTAATATATCAAAGATGTTTGTGCTGTAAATGTTCAACTGTCAGAGAGAGGCTGAAGCAGTGGGCAGATGGGAAGTGGAATATGCACACGAGCTGAATGTTCTTGAGTCAGCAGTGAAGTAGCAAATAGTGCATGACAACTTGTCTTCTAAGACTTCAGGCTTAATCAGTTCAAATCTCAGTCATTTGCTTCCCTTGGAATATTGCTCCATGACCCTGCAGACTCAAAACAAAACTGGAGGAGAATACAAGTTGAGTTTTGGGAACTTTTTTTTCCCCTGAAAAAAGCTGCTGTTTTGTTGCAGGGTTTTTTAAAGGGAAATAACAAAGCTGTGCTGCAGAAGTGTACTATGGTTAATAAGGCTTTGAGCTCCATTAAGTTGCAAAATCCCACATTTTTCAGAATTTTCTCTCTTTAACTGTATGCCAGTTGATTTCAGCTCTCCCTTTTCTCATTAACAGCCCACCCTTAAGTGAATTTTAATGGTAGGAATAATTCCATAGGGCAAAGGAGTCCCCTAAAGCTTCTAGACACAGTGAAAATTATTTCCTGTGTGTCTAGTAAACATTCCTTCTGTTCCTGTATTGAGGGCAGGGAGATGCTAAATCACTGCGGTTGCTGCCTCTCCCTTAGGGTCCAGCTGATGATAAAATTACAGCCTGGTATGTAGGAGAATCAAGGCTTGTGCTGGCATGACAGTAAGAGCTGGGAGGGGCACAATGGGGCTGTTTATTTCAGTGGCTGTGCCACTTTTGATCATTCATAGATAGAAATGTGACCTAAATAGTCGTCACAGCCAACTGTAGAACACGGAGTAAAAAAACATACTGATTTGGAGGCAAACTCAGTAATTCTATAGGCTGTCCTTGCTGTATGTTGAAAGAATTGAGCTGGCAAAGAGTACTGGAAAAAATACTATTTGGTAGGGAAAGCTTTGGTTGTAGGTCTGTGTCTCTTCCCTTATGAACATTTGTTTGCATCCTTAGCGTTCATTTAGCTAGCAGCTGTATTTTTGCCATCTTCATGGAGTTAAGTCTGTGGCTTTTTTGACAGTTACATCCAAAAGT